TCCTTCCCTAGCTCAGCTTCTTCTTCTTCTTCTTGTGTCTACAACCAAATTAAGAACTGAATCATCGGCAGAACCAGGATTTCACACATGACATGCGGCACTATCTGAACTTTAGGTTGGTTGCACCCCAAACTTCTACAGAGCTACAGGATACACCTTATACTTGGACATTTATGGACAACTCACACTTTTAATATACCAAACTGAAAGAAGAAAATCTCTCCTGCTGATGAAGGCTCTTTGGAAAAAGTGTGTTATTTCTTATAATAAATATTTGGAAAGTGGGTGTAAGGGGGGATACCCCTGTTTGTGTAACAAAATAAAAAGGCACCAATTTTGAACGGTTATTGAACTTTTTGTTTTGCGAATTTACATTTTCACCTTTTGTTTAATATTAAGTCTAGCAAGTGGTTAACTTGCCTCAATTTCTCCTTGAGTGTTCCCTACTAATTGTACAATCTCAGTCTCATTCCAGAATCTCCTACTACCAAGCTGAGTTCCTTACTCACATTACTGAAGTTAAAATCCAGCTTCTCAGGGCATTGCTTGGGTCCTGACCTGAAAGGAAGTCCAGAGATTGTCTTCTGCGAATAAAGACAGATGGGGTCAGTCAGGAAGCAGTACAGGATGGAGGAAAGAAGTGCAAGGAAGGAAACTCCACTGCCCAAGGGCTGGAATAAGGCCAAAAGTATCTGCACTGTGAAGTGCTGGAAACAGGACTGAGAGCATGCAGTCAGGGAGGAGAAAAGAAGTCAAGGGCCAAGAAAGGACGTCGCAGCATACGCAACTGATTTTTCCAGAGTTCAGAGAGAAGAACTAACATTGTGTTATTATTCATATTCCAAAAGCATCATCCAGTTCCCCTGGGACACTCCTGTTAAGGCATCATGGTCTTTGGGAAGACTATCATGAGTGACTAGTGCTACTGAACAGTGTGGCTGATGTGTTGGGTATGCTTGACCAACATCTGGTATACTTAAGAGCAAAAAGGAAGTACACTAATTCAGAATGTGAGGGAATGATTGCCTCTGCATCCAGAGGATGGGCAATGGGATCTGTGTTGGTGTCATCATCAATGAGGTCTTGACACAGAGAACAACAGAAAAGGAATTCAGTTTTGTAAGCTGCCTTCGGACTTCACAGCTGAGCCTTTGGTACTATCAAAGATCTGCACACAGAGAAAAACAGGAGTAAATGGGAAGAACGAGGCCAGCCTTTCTTGTAGCATGGTAGTTGTGGCAGCTTCCATGCTGCAGCACACACTGTTTCACTCACCCATCAAAACAGCAATCATGGAATCACAATCACAAGCGTGTACCGGCTTGCATCCTGCATTTGTTTCCACTTGTGCTCCTCTTCCTCTGTTGTGGAGGTGGTCCTCTGCTATGTTCCTCTGATGCTAGTTATTACTCTGCTCATGCAAGCTCAATGTCTTTCAAGGAGTCGAAAAGAGTTCAGTGTGAGAAGAATGTGCTCTGGAGCACAGGACTGCCTCCACAATAAGAGGATGTAAGTGGAAACAAGGTATAGGATCCAAGCCATTGTATGGTGGTGAATATCTGAAAACTTGTCATTACTTTGGATGTTATTTTGTTATCACATAGCAAGCAGTTGTGATTGTGACTCCACAATTGCTGCTGAGGGGTATATAACTGGGGGAACAAATGCAGCTTGGGAACTGCCACAACTACAAAAGCAGTACAGCAATAACTGTGAACACAGCCAGTCATTTCAAGTCTCCAACAGCTTGTAGCACGGTGCAAAGCTACAAACAATTGCATGAAAACCTATTAGAGCCGCCCCATGAGAAGTTTTACAACTATCTCATAAGTGGTTGAGTGATTCCAGCAAAAACGAGGAATTAGAGGTCAATGGTCGACTCTGGAGGGATAGGAACTGTAAGGTTGGCGTGAATTATGAGTAGGTGGAAGAACACACCAACAAAATGCATGCTTAGATGAAAGACGGGCAGTGGGAAGATCACCGCTGAGTTTTAAAACATCACATTAAGTGGCTGCCAACAACAGTGGTTGTATTTCATTCCGGGCATCTGGACCCCAGTTCTCAGAGCCAGCGCTAAGCAATTACAACAGAGAAAGGCAGAAAATGCCAGGGAAAGCAATGGACAAGGAACCATGGCAAGGTTCACACAGAAGCTGAAGTTATGCCTCACATGGTCAGGTGGGAAGTTGTACTGCAGCTGCTGAATATCATGAGAGAAAAGTCGCTCCCAAAGCCTTCGGGCCCAGGCCACGCAGTCCCCCCAGCTATGTGGCTTCTCCTGAAGACTGGCTTGTACCAGTTCTAACACCTCCAGAACCTCTGCTTCTTCGGTCTCTGAGAAGCTGGGATCCCTGCAGACAGAGTCCAGGAGTAACCATGTTAGCCTGTGGCAGCCAAATAACAAGTCATGTAACACCACAGTGCTACAAGACACCTTATCTTCTTGTGCAGAGTGTGCTTTGTTTGTGGCAGGACCACAGAAAGGAACCTGCTGTCCAGCACGGCAGTAAAACTAAATTAACAACTTCTAAAAATGAGTAATTTCAAAAAACCACACCAAATAATTATGCTGGGAAGACACCTTCATTTTAAACAATATGTTCTTAGTCGTAAACAGAGTAGCATCAGCATTATCTTTCCAGGATCCAAAAGTAAGCCCACATAAACAGGTTTTATATTTCTTACTGAAAGCCATGAGACAGAAACACAAACAGATTTCATTCAATACTATTTCCACATTCTTGGGGAATTCACAGCATAGGTCACATAACCCTCTGAAGGCATATTAGAATCTGAACCCAAACAAGTAGGGTCTAAGGACAGAACTACGCATTACCTTTAGTTCTGTTATTATTTTTCCCTACGACTGTTTTGTTAACAATATGCTATAATCAGAGTTGCAACTGAAAGGGGGAGACTGGGGTGGAGGGAGAGCTACTTAACTTTTTCCACACACTTAAAATCATTACTCCCTTCAGTACCTGTAAGCTGTCCCCAATGGGGGTTCAAACAGCTAGGTGGGAGAACAATTTTCACCAGGAAAATAAGGAAAAGAATTAAACAGTACTTTTTCTGCTGTGTCAGTCTATCTCTTTAACTCACAGCACAAATATTTAATTTCATTTATTTATTTATTTACATCCTTCCCCAACGGGGACCCAAACTGGCGTAGATGGTTCTTTTCCTCCATTTTATCCTCACAACAGCCCTGTGAGGTAGGTTAGGCTGACAGTACTATGTTGCCCCTCCTTAAGAGTTAGGTCAGTAACCACATGTGTATGACAGCCCACCAAAAAGCTGAAAGCTACCAAGGTGAGAATTGCCTCTATCATTCTTGCAGCTGAATGAAAGGACTAACACGATAGAATTAGGTTGATTTCGCACTAGAGCTGCCGCGCTGTTGTGCTGCCGTTTGCCCCAGTTCTATTGGTCAATTTCACACCCGAAGCTGCGCGGTTGATTTTGACCCGTGGCTTCGCCCGATTTCCCCCACAGTTTTGTGATCCTGTTTTTTGAGGATCAACGAAACTGCGAGACAGCTCTAGTGCGAAATCAGCCTTAGTCTCATTTTCAGGTATGCGGTTAGAGTCTTTAAATAAGACAATGTATGAAGGGGAAGGGACAGGAAGATTTTTTGTATTTTGTTGTGTGTTCATTAATCCCACCCAGCCTCCCAAAAGGAGAGTGCATGGAGGTTATCTCAGTTTATCCTCACAATGAACTCAAACCCAGGGCTCAAATCCAGGTCTCTTTGATCTAATACAACACTAGATCCTCTACAACACACAGTAGAACACCAACCAGTAGAGAATGGGAAAAGGCAAAGGCCCCTCTGGCCATGACTGTTCTCAGGCAATGATCAGTAAAGGCCAATGGTCTCATGTTTGGACACCTGTGCTCACGGAGCAGATAATTTCTAGAACAAGATACAGTTTATTCTTCAGCCCAGACATTAGCAAACTTCCTCCCAGAGAGGAACTCCTAATCAAATCCACTTTCTTCTCAACACAGCCTTTCAGGATTCTCTTACTCCACACCCATTACCCACAATCCCATAGCCAACACCCTGCCTGACACTCACTGCAGAAATTTGTTGACGGTCTCTGCTGTCTTCCTGAAAAGACCCTCAAACTGATCTCGGGCCCACTGCAAAAAAGAGGAAAAGAATAGTGTCAGTGGCTACTTGGACTTCACTAGAAGATCTATTACCAGCACCTTTCACCTCCCCCCAGGTCTACCTGGTAAACACAGAGGGCCTAGCACAAAGGGCACTCCCTAGTGCTGCAGTGCTCCTTCTGACACCATACAATGGGCTCAGCATGACCGTGACCCACCTTGTCCTCCTCCCGTAGGAGTGCAGAGTAGAGGGGGATGTGTTCTCCTCTCTATTCCTGCCACAGAATGAGAAGCAGCAGCTGGAGTTCAGCACGTGAAGGAATTGGCCTGGCGATTGGGTGAAACAGATGGACCCCATATCCTGCTGTCAGCAATGCTGACAACCCCAGTGCTAGTGCAGCTACCTGCAAAGAGTAGGTGGAGCCAAGGGGCCAGGCAAGGCATAAAGAGGAGAGCCCGCTGGCAGCTGAGAAGTGAGCTTTCCCTTTTCAAGGATGGGCCAGCTAGAGAGAAAGGCAGGAGAGGGTCTGAGGGTCTGCGGAACTGATCTGCTGGTGAAAGAATGGAGAAGTGTGGATAAGAAGAGCAATCTACCTGTAGGGTGTGCTGGATGGTAGTGGGAAAGTAGCGCAGGGTGCAAAGAGGGTAGCTGTCCTCATCTCGATCCACGGCATGGCCATATGGCTCCGTCACAAAGGGCATAAGGACCTGAACGTGCCCTTTGGTGCCTTCCGTTCCAGAATCAAGCAGAGGCTTGAGGTACTTTGTGCACTGTTTACCCACATATGCTCCTGCAGGGAAGGGAAAATGAAAAGCTACCAGGAATACGGCTCCTTTGCAGATTCTTGTTTTTGGCTTACAACTCAGGTGCCAAGCTGGAAGCTCCTTTTGCAGATTCTTGTTTTTATTGCCTGGGCCTGAACTAGCAACAAAAGACATTATGGCAGAAGGGGAAATGGGACAGTTGATGGCATTATCCGAACAGTAATTATGGACTTTCTGCAGCCATGGTCCCTTCAAAGACTGCTGAATGGGAGGTTCAGCACAGAGGCAGATTGGGTCATATCCTACCAGTAAGGATGGGAGGAAGAGAGTCCATGGACAGCAGCCATCATACAGCACTGTCCTGTCCACACAGAACAAAGTGGGTGCCTTCTGAGCCTCCTTCCCATTTGCAGAGACCAAGGTTTGGCTTACAACTCAGGTGCCAAGCTGGAGGTGCCATAGCGGTCTTGCCAAATGCATACTGGGTTGACGGCGATTTGTGCACTAATACACTATTTTGCAATGGCTATTACTATCAATGATGCTTCCTAGCTGCGTGACATTTTTCCCGTGTTTTGAAAGCACAGACAATGCCTTTTCAACAGTCCTTTAAAAAAATCATAAAATTATGCATAAAATCCAAAATGCATACGAATATACCAAAAATGTAGAATACGTCTAAAAGTACGATGCCTATCTAAATCTATCTAAACCCCATTTCAGCATTTCTCCCTAATCATAGAGAATCTTTCATTAGCCACTGTCAATATTACTACTATTTTACTTATACCATTATCATCTCCATTCTTGACTATACCTCTTCAACAGTCCTGTGGGGTAGGCCAGTATTATTATCTTCACAGTACCTGTGAGAGAGCTGAGACTGAGAGGAAACATCTTCTTAAGGACACCTAGTAGAGTTCATGGCTGAGCTACGATCTGACCTGTAGACTTCCTGGCTTCTAACTCACAGTCGCATGACAAATATGACATCCCATATATTAGCGCTGTGGGTATTATTTGGATCTGCATTGGCAGCCTAGACCAGGAATGTTAGATTTGGACTGGGATGCCTTTAGAAGTCTAGGAAGGAAGCGAGAGCTACCCTGCTTATTCAAGCCTTCTTGCCCCTTGAGGTGATCCTGCTGGCTCTTCCTCAATCCTGATGTTAATATCAATCAGTGGCAATCCTGTGCATACTTTCTTGGGAGTAGGAGTAAATCCCTAATGAAACAGACTCTTCCAAGTAAACATGTATAGGATCCACATGAAGAAATGAAGCTGCCTTATACTGAGTCAGACAACTGGTTTATCACACTCAGCGCTGCTGTCTACTCTGACTGGCAGTGGCTCTCCAGGGTTTCAAGCAGACGTCTTCCAGATCACCTGCTACCTGGTCCTTTTAAATGGAGATTCTGAGAACTGAACCTGGGACCTTCTGCATGTGAAGCAGATTCTCTGCCATTCAACCATAAACTTTCCACTAACAGCTCACCGTACAGCCCTTTGTGAAGGGTTCCTGACCTGCAGGAACAGGTTAACTTTCCATCCAAGGGACACCAGGTGGCCAGGACAAAGCAGACTTTCAAGATCTATCTTGCATCCAGCGAATGGTCCACCTACAATGCTTTTCTTCCTCTGCTTTGAAAAGATTATGCCCTGAGCCATAGGGTATGGCTGGAAGGCATATGCTATAACAGACTACCTGAAGGCCTGGGTCTGGTCATGCTGGAATGGGAAATCTCCTGGGAACCCAGTGGATGTGGTCTTGAGTTCCATGATAGGTGGGACCTAAATTAAATAAATATGCAAGCTTCTTTTTCATCCACAAGGTTAAATCAAAAGATGTATGCAGCAGCTGCTATTAGTGACTCAAACACAAGAGTGGACAGAGTTACCAAAAGGGTAATTGTCTATATCTACACAGTTCTTTATTCTTGTCATGACCCCTTCCTTAGATTGTCCTTTTCTGCAGGGTTCAATCTTTCCTTCCTCTTCACCATCCTAGCATGTGCTACAAAAATGTCACAGTCCTGTTGAAACTGAAATAAAGGCTGTGAAGTGCTCTGAAAACATTTCACAAAGACCGAGTAAAGGATTATTTGTACAAAGTCAATGTCTGGAAAGAAATCCTGTTTACATACTTCATTCCAAACATGGTATGATCATGCCCACAGTACAGCAGGATAAGCATTGGTATGCCCTCTGGAACACTCACTGGCTTGCAGGCTGTCCAGGGCAGTGGCTACACCATCCAAGCCAAGGAAAAATTCATCTCCATAGTAGCACTCTGTATCAGACCCAACCTGATTTTGCTCAGCTGTTACACTGACACTGGGATTCATGAGCTTTATGGCAGCTGCTGCCACTTCTGACTTCCACTTCTATAGAGACAAAGAGAATATTATTACATGGAGCTAGAATGGAAATCAACAAAAATTACTCCATTTGGTCAATTGCCCAAAGCCATTAGCCAAGGTAGCATGAGAAACAGCCATATCAGAGCCTAGATTCTCCTTTTCAGCATCATGCATGGGTTTTTAATGTTCCTTGAGACACATTCCTTGGTCAATCTGCACCCCCATACATACACATTTCCCAAGTCTCTTTCTCACCATCATCTCTGCAAGACTTACAGATACATCCTGTGGTCGAAAGAGGAACTGACGGTTGAGGTTGGAATATTCAATTTTGTCCATGTCTGTCACGGTGATGTTCCCGCCCTCACAAGCAGCCAAGCCGATCATTGCAAGGTTCTTCAAGAGCTCGCAGCCAATGGCACCCGCTCCTACCTGAGGAAGTGGCAGTTAAGACTGATACAAGACCTAGGACATTCTGGATGCAGCTCTGAGCTTAGTTGATCTCAGAATCTCCTGTGGTAGGGTGGGGGATAAGGGGACAGGAGACACTTCCCAGTTATGTTGCTGTTTCTGGTACAAGAGTTTCCTTCATGTGAGTCTACTGGATTGGTTCCCATGAAAGAGTATGTGTAGAAAGCAGTTATTCAGAACGGAAACATATACCCATACTTTTCAGGCATAATTCACAAACAGGAAACTAGATTCCTATAGCTTTTGATTGCATTTCTCTCATGAGAAACTTAAGTTGGCTTTCATTTCTAACATGATGTTTTCTACTTGAATTCCTCCACACAGAAGAAGAAAAATTATGTTCAAAGAAACCTAAAATCAGATGGAATGATGTCTAGTGAAGTAAGAGAGTCTGATATAGACACTAGAAACATCATCAGGAAACCACTGCTGTCTCAACAGACTAATAATGTCCTTCAGGGAGTGGAAGGGAGCAGATATTATGAGGAACAACAGACTGTGCTCTTTCTCCTTGTGAAAAATGAATCACTGGACACAGTTTACACTACAGATGCTCATTAGCAAAAACTGGAGAGAAAGGGAAAATATTTGTCTTCAAAATACATTTTTGATTCCATCTGGCACTCTGAACTAAACCCTAATTTGTAACACAACAAGCACTGGAAGGAAAACCTAAAGCCTCATCCGATCTGTGTGCCAATTCATCGAATGTGTAACACATAAAGAACAATGTGAAACATTCAAACAAGAAAAAGGAGTAAAACCGGGATGTAATATCAACCCAACCCTCTTTTATCTAATAAATCAACTACGTTCCAAACCTTTTTGAAACTGTTGTGAAGTCCCAGATTACCAGTGTATGACTCAGCAACACACTACCTGTTACACACTAGTGACCTCACCATGCTCTCACCTACACAAGAAGCGACCTGTGCGAAAGTTTGAACCAGAAATCTAGAAAAAAAACATCACTACTTAAAAACACACAGGTGAAATTCATGGGGGGGAACAACATTCCACAGCACTCTAGACGAAGTGGCAATCCTATGCGATAAAAAATGGAATAAATCCCATTGAGCTATTAATTCACAGCCACATTTTGAAGAATATTGTTCCCTAATCAGCCGGACGTGAAGTTATAACTTTGGTTCTGTACTGAAAAATACAGAGCTATATTCCCTGTTCAGATCCTACAAAGCCCCATCCTCAGAGAGAGTCTTACTGTGCAATCTTATGCGGAGTTATAATAGGATGACATTGGAAGTATATTTATTCAGCAGTAAGTTTCACTTAATGCAAAGGGATGGAACTATTCCCTCCCAGCAACTGGCAACATCACAATTAATCCTTTAATCAGTCATTTCCTGATTTCATTAGGAACAGCAATACCACCATTTGCTCTCTTTTTTTTAATTGATCTGTCAGCATGGCTATTTCACTGGAGCGCACCTGTGGAGCTAAAAAACATGCACAAACAAAATGATCCTTGATGGATTGGGAAAAGGTTTAACTTGGCTTAGTGTATGGAACATTAAAGAGTGAAGGAGAGGAGCAGTGAAAGATAAGAAACATCCCTCCAGGACCTGTTAGATTCAAAAGTAGAGAAGCACCTCTTTCACCAGTGGAAGGAAGCAGGAGGGTATACCAAGCTGGGCAGTTTCAAAGGCTGCCTCTCCTTTGCTTAAAATCCAGCTATAAGAGACATTGGATATTCTTGATCAATACTCCCATCTCTTTACATTTCCATAAACAGACATCCACCCACCCCAATTTGGATCTGGAATGTAGCACTAGGAAGACAGAAGAGGCTTAAGTCCTTCTCCTATGGTCCTGATGCAACTTGGCTCTCTAGGGCCCCTGCCACACGGCAGGGGAAAAGACTCTTGGCGCGGCTTTTAAAAGCCGCACCAACATTGAGGCGCCGCGGCGGGATCCCATGGATCCCCTGGCCGCGGCGCCTTTTCTCCCCGGCGCGATCAAACGCCGGGGAGAAAACATGGCCCGAACGGGAGCCAGCCAAACTACGCATGTCCGAGCATGCGCAGTTCGGCTCCGGGCCGGGGTTGAGCCGGCGCAAGGAAGCGCCGGCGATCAAACGCCCGGCTTGAAGCGCACCTACACGTTGAACCACCCAAGGTAGGTGGTTCAATTTGCGCCGGATTAGGGCGGGGAAGGGCCAGTTCGGGCACGGAAGCAGGACGCTTCCCAGATGTTGTGGTGTGATCGCGCCGGTTTGATCCGGCCCTGAACTGGCCCGCAACTGGCCAAAATCCCCTCGTGTGGACGGGACCTAGAGGTATTATTTGCCCTGATCAGTAAATGTGTGAATGAGGAGCATATAAATTCTGCAGTCCTGATCCAAAATCCTAATCCAATCAGTGCTCCAAGACATTTTTAATAAGTTGTAAAATCAAGAAATGGTGGGGTGCTATCAACAACCTAATTGCTCCTCCTGCCAGGTGCATCAGTAGCACTTTGTTTTTCCATTTGGGCCAACATTGCAATTCTTCTTAAAGTAAAAAGAAAAGAAAAGAAAGAAATTAATGAAATTCCCCATAAGCCGTGTTTGGGGGGAAAACGAGAGGACAGCAAGGAAAACACTAGACCATAATTGCTTAACAGGGACAGCACTGGAATTATCTGCTACAACTTGTTTATGCAGTTATAACAATCCAAGACAGCATGGCTATTTTGAAGAGGACCTCAGTGGGATTACTTCTGAGTAAACATGCTTAGACTGGTGCTGAAAATCAATACAAAGTGCAATTCTAAGCAGACTTCAATGGACTTAGAAAGCCAGAACTCTGCTTTCGACTGTTCTATAAAATGCATTTCAAGAATGTAATTTATGCATGTCTGAGCCTAACAACTGAATGTGTTCTGAAACTTTATGGAAGGCCATCAAAACATTGCAGGAAAAAAAGCACTGCAATTTTTAAATCAAATTAGATATGCTAATTAGTTATAATCAGGGGCTTTTTATACATGTGCACCCCTAATTCTAAATTCTGCACCCAGAAGACTTGAATGCTATACTAAGAACAGATTAAGCAAATCAAGAAATATTATGCAAATTGGAGTCTCTTATAAATAGTCAATTTGCATTGTTTATTCTTACCCCAGGATTTGAGCTGCAGTAGGGAGGCATGCGCGTAGGAGAAGCTCTACTGTCTAAACTCAAGAGCTTTTTACTGAAGCTGCCTGCCCAATTTTAAATCTACCACAAAGCCATAGAGGCCACAAAACAGAACAAAGATTCTAACCCATGCCAAATTTCCCATAAAAGTTATGCATGCAGAACTGCAGATGGTGACACCCTTGGAAATAAACCTTACTGACCATTGCAATTGCCATTTTCATCATAAGCCATGCAGTTTTATTTTGTGGTAGTAAAATCTGGGGTCCACCTTTAAAAATTTGCTACACTTTGGGATGAAATCCTTCCAGGTTTCTTCACTGGCAACTATGTGAGCAAATGTTATATTTACAAAGGAACTCCAGCAACAGCTGCAGAGCAGATCTGGATTAGTTACTCATCATACAAAAATCATTATTCATCTTCTGGTGCAGTCAACGCTTCCTTCACCACAAGGCTCTGGAACAATAGGCACTGAAGTTAAGGGAAAAGTCAACCCACCAGTCTCATGTCATCAATGCCTAAATGAATAAACTATCTCCTGACCAGCAAAGGGAACAACCTAAAGTAAATGCCACTTTAAAAAAACCAACAACAGACCCACACAGGACATTTGAGAGACCTATGGATTTTTGTGCAAGCTATTTAACATTAGCAGACAGCCTCTCCACAGAGAAACAGGCAGTAATCATAACAAATGACAACTGTGAATGAGGAGGAACAAAACAGGCTTCATCCTCCCAGATCACGGCAACCAGTGTAAAAGGAAACAGACCAAGACTGAATTAAATTCAACAAGGAACAGTATCTAAATATGGAAAAGGGGGCAGAGAGCACTGGGTTACCCTGTAGCCCACCACTTGAGTAAAAACAGGCTCCAAGGAAAAGTGAAGCCGGAGGGTGGGGGGTGTCTCATTGCACCCTTTTTCTCTTCATTATCTGCCTACTCCATAGTCTGCCAATTTTTTCCCGGTTTAGAAAAGAGACAATGGGGGGGCATGGTAGAGGTTTATAAAATTATACATGGGGTGGAGAGAGTTGGCAAAGAGAAATTTTTCTCCCTCTCCAAAAGAACCAGAATTCAAGGGCATCCAATGAAGCTGATCGGCAGTAGATTCAGGACAGACAAAAGGAAATACTTCATTACACAGCAAGTGATTAAAATGTGGAATTTGCTGCCAGAGGATGTAGTGAGGGCCACAGGCATAAACAGCTTTAAAAGGGGATTAGACAGATTCATGGAGGATATCAGTGGTCACTATCCATGGTGACTAAAGAGAACATCTACGTTCAGAGGCAATCAGCTTGTGAATCCCAGAGCCAGAAGGCAACATCAGACCGGAGAAGGCCTCGGCCTCTATGCCCTGTTGTTTGGCCTCCAGAAGAACTGGTGGCCACTGTGTGAAACAGGATACTGGACTAGATGGACCATTGGCCTGATCCAGCAGGGCTCTTTTTATGTTCTTATGTAATGTGCTCCACACCCACCCCACTTTATATCACTGACCTATATCAGTGACACCCAAACTGTGTGCCAGGGAAGAATAGTGTGCTGCAAATTGGGTTGAAACGTGCCTTGCAAGCTAAGTTACCATGTAGGGTACATTGACCACTTCATGTCTGCCAGAGCAAAGGAGACCTAAGTCAATGCTGATCTCTCTGCTACAATAAGGGTAGAAACATAATTCCAAGAGACAGAATAAAAAAATAAGGACACACTAACATCCCGCACTCCAGTGGTACAGTGCTGGGGAATCCCAGAGGCATCATCATCATTGTCCAAAAAGAGTGGTCCCATTCTCATACCCAATTGACTGGGGAAAGC